AGTCAGGCCCCTCGGCAGAGGCCTTGGCTGGGCACGTGCCGCACCCTGACTGTTCCGGATCCCTGGGGATCCTTGTAGCCCCAAGGCCTTTGTGTCTATGCCCTTTCCCTTTCATCTGGCCCCATTGGACGCCCCAGCTTCCTGTTCAGCCTTGCCCAGGCCCGAGTGCCTGCCTCTGAGCTTCCCTGTCCTCTTGCTGCTTTCCCAGGTGGCTTTCCTCTCTTGAGCTGGGCTTCAGATCATGCACTGCCCCCCGAGTGCTGGCCACCGTGTCCCATAGTAGTACCTGTACGTGCAGGGGTGTCCACCCCTTGCTCTTTGAGGGGTTCCTCTGTGGGTTGTTCCTGACACTGGCCTGGCCACTCTGACCACTGAGGTGGGTGCCCAGGTTTGTGTGGGAGTTTGCACACCTGCCTGGGCCCAGGCCTGGAGATGAGGCCTATGGGTAAGGGGCAGGTGACCCATGGGGTTCCTCCTTCAGCCCCCAGCTGCAACCCTGCACCCCAGTCCTGGCTTCCTGGGCAGGGATTTCTGCAGTAACTGTGCCCACTCCTCCCCCGCTGGCCAGCTGTGGGCTCCTGCAGGATTAAGGGGAGGAAATTTGGGGTTGGGTTTCTCTGAACGAAACCTGCCGCTGTGACTTTTTATCCTGTTATATTTCTATCAGATCGGACACAGCCACCCCCCCCCCCCCTTAATGGCTCTGGCTTTGAGAATTTCCTCCAAAATTACACTGCCGCTTCCTGCCCCACAGTTCCCTGGGGCCCATTTGTGCAGAGGAGGGGCACCTCTAGCCCTGCCCTGTGAGGGTGCCCACAGGGGACCTCAGCACCTGGTCTCCCGCAGGCCAGGATGTAGCATGGCCTGTTCTGAGGGCAAGGAGGGCCAAGGGTCCAAGGAGAGGCCTGGGGCCACTCAGCCACCCACACCTGGCGCCCTCAGCCCCCCTCCCTGTGTGTGGGGGTTCTGCATGGAGCCGCCTGGCCTTTCTTCTCCGCTGTGCCCACAGAGCTCCACCATTAAACTAATTGTCACCTGCAGGATTTTAACGGTCGGCCAGCTGTGCATGGCGCCTGGTGGGGGACTAAATCCACCGCCCTGGGGCCATGGAGTCTGTGGGGGAGGACTCAGTGGTGGATTGCCAGGAACCTTCTTTCAGTGTGCAACTGGGTCAGGGCAAGATGGGTCCTCCCTCTCGATACAGCTCATAGGGAGGCCTCGGCAGCCCAAGACCCTCAGCTCTTTCTGGCCCAGGTGGGCACCAGTGGGGGCACTTGGTGGCACCCACCCCAGGCCTGGGGCCACTTTGCACCCACCCAGGCCTGGGGGCCGACTTTGCTGGATGGTGCCACCTGTCCACACCGGGCCGGGGGACTGTGGGGAGTGAGCCTGCTCTGCCGCCTGTACACCTCAGACCTCTGCTGTGGGTAGTGGGCTTTGCCCCCGTCTTCCTGCCCTGCAGTGCGCCCCTTACCTGTCCCTATAGTCCTCACCCCAGTTTCCCAACAGAAGATTCTTGATGGGTACAAGGCCCGCCGTTGCTCCTTTGGCCTTGCTCTAGCCCCAGAAGGACGGGTCCTTTTCAGAGACCTGGGGTGCCCCAAGCCAGGAGGGATGGGGTGTGGGGTGAGAGTGCAGGCCTGGCTGGAGGTTGCGTGGTAAGTTCACAACTTTCCGAGAGGACAGTCTCCCCCGGTATTTGGAAGATACTGTTCCATTTTTAATTATCCAAATTTTCCAGACTTTATATTATATCAAAGACACAAAATGCCAACTCTTAGCCCAGTTAGGGAGCTAGCATGGAAAGTTCCGGTGGGCTTAGGCAAGTGCTCAGCTATTCAGAGTTAAGCCGCTGCCTTGACTGTTCATCTGTTTCTTCATCTGTCTGTCCTTTGGCCCTGCTCACAGCCAGGGGCGGGTCTGGCCCAGTGGGCATGCTCTCAGAGGGCCTGTGCGCAGGTCATGTTCAAGGTGGGGTTCTGCATGGGTCCCAGTGGCATCCACCTTTCCCAGCGGCATCCGCCTCTTGGCTGCTTGGGCCCTCCTCCTAACTTCGTATCGCCGTCTTTCTGTCGCGGTCTTTGCTCTGCAGAAGGAAGGAGGGTTGTCAGGTCCTGGGCAGCGATCTGGTGTCGCCCAGTGCCAGCCCTGGCCTCTCTGGCTTACTTGGGGTGCTGTCCCAGGTGGCCAGCACTGAGGCACCCCCCTTTTAGGCTCTAGGCTCCCCTATGCATTTTGGGGAGGGGAGTAAAGTGTTGCACAGCCAAAACTGTAAAATTAAATTTCCCAGATGTTCAGGCCCCAGGAGCTCCCGCGTGCTGTCTGGAGAGGAAATGGGGATTGGGAAAAGCAGTTGTATTTTCTCCCTGTTCACCCTTCTTTTCCGGTGCCACCAAGCACAGCCCACGCTGTAAATCACAGCCAGCCAACAGCTTCACCTACTGTAGTGCCTGAGCAGGCCCAGGGAGAGGCAGCAGGTGCCCAAAAAGCCTTGGGGTGGTGGCAGCAGACCCCAGGGGCCCTATCTGCTTCACTGCCACCCTAGACAACCTGTACAGCAAACTTTGTACATCCTGAACTCAACTCACTGCTTTCTCAGCTTACTGAGCAGAGCAACTAGAGACAGCCGTGATGCGGTCCCCCAACCTCTGCCAGGGTTGTGCCTCCTGCCTTCCTCCAGGCCCCTTTGCTCCTGCCCGGCCCTTTCTGGCCACCCCTGCGCCCTGGCCCCATATATACAGGTCCTAGTGACCCACTGCATGGGGAGTGGCCCCCAAAGAAGGCCCCACACTCGCCTCCCCAGGGGCAGCTTTGACATGTCCCTCTTTGCTGGGGCCCAGCTTGGGTGGCAGGTGTCCCCACCGTGGCCTGATGGGGAGAACCACCCAGCACCTGGCCCTTTTGGGCACTTGTGGCCCTCGCTCACCAGCTTCCTCTGGTTGCTGAGGCAGAAGGTGCAGATCTGCTTGGGTTGGGCGTTCTCGCCATCGCGTGCTGGGGGTGGTGGTGGGGGGCTGCCCGCGCGTGCTGCGTGGAAGAAGGCGGGCCCCGCGTGGCATGGCTGCCCGTCGCCGCAGGCCTCGCCCACCAGCAGCACGTTGCCCAGGTGCGAAATATAGCTGGAGGCCAGGCGGAGCGTCTCAATCTTGGAGAGCTTGCGATCAGCCGGCTCCGTGGGGATGAGCGTGCGCAGTGCCGTGAAGGCCGTGTTCACGCTGTTGGTTCGGTCCCGCTCACGCGCGTTTGCTGTGTGTCGCTGCCGGGGTTCGCGGCCTGGCCGACCCCCGGGTCCCCCGCCAGCCCCCGCTCGCCTGCCCCCGGCCCGCCGTCTAGCACCCTGCAGGCCGCAGCGCGCAGCGTGCACGCGGCAGGGCTTTTCGTCCGAGCCTGAGCTCTCGCTGCCGTGGTCCTCGTCTTCCGACAGCGGGCTCACTTCGGGGTACAGGTAGCGGCCCGGCGGCGCTGAGCGCAGCATGGCGAAGGAGATGGCCGGGGCCGGCGTCAGCTCCGCCGCGCGCCACTCATGCTGCCTCCTGCGGCCGCCGCG